GTCATTTCTTAGCCCTTCTTCCTTTGTGAACTTTGTTCTAGTATCCTAGGTAAATGGTTTTGACTTTTTGCTCCTATGATAGAATTTCCCTCAGCTGCATGCAGGTTTGACTGCCATATCTGAACTCACATAGGTCACCTTCGGATTTGGGTGGGGGGAGGGGGGGGTGACCTTATTGCCCGAAAAAAATTACACGATGCACGAAAGCGTGAGTGTTGTTCAAACGCGCTCAAATCGCAGTAAAAACAAGAACGCTCACAATTCACACGTCAACTATGAAACTGTTATCATTCCGAAGACAGTTATTTTGAAACCTCGCATACTCTATGACCTCGATTGACAGCCTAGTAAAATCACAAACTTATAACAGAAAAGAAATTTCTCCGTACGAAAAGTGCAAGAAAATTTTAAAACGGCTCTTTTCAGAGCCACCACAAAAAGTCTTGGTATTCGTTTGCTTTTAATTTTTTTTTTTTTTCATTGTTTTGTTGTTGGAAATAATATCCATCTCGTGGATACTAATTTATAACAAGTCAAAGGCCAAGAATATATTTTCTAAATTACAATTATTTTCAACTACCATAGCAGCCTCTAGGTTTAGTTTCATTCGTTAATTTGCCCTTTACCAAATCAGGATTAGAGACTGAATGAATTATGACTGAGTGATGAACAGAATAATATTTCTCGATAACGTTTTCCCTCTAGTTAAGAAGGAAAAGGGAGAGAACTTGTGGCAGAACATAACACCCTGTCTTATTTTGGCCACAATACGGTCACATTGCAAGAAGGTTTGGCTATTCATTGTTAATTTGTTGCCACTACATCCCCAAAACAAGTGCAAGGAGGCTGCGTGTACTATTTAAGTAAACAATTAATTATTGACTCTCGTTTCTATGTTGTGAAAACTGAAATTTGTTTTAAATAACGATTTTAAATTTCTCTACGTAGTATTAAAAACGTCGCAATTTCGAAGATGACCTACAGCCATTGCTATGGTTGCACATTTTTAACTCCGTTTTTTCTCTAGATACAATAACCTAAAAGCAATTAACTTTGTTATGTTTTCGAATGAGAAATGCAACTACAACAACACACAAGATGGCGGAACTCAGACTGTATTCTCACGTGTACAAGACTGCGGGCTCACATCCGGGCAATACATAATGAACCATAACACCTCTCCACTGAGATATGTTGTACAAGTAACATAGAAAAACAAAAGAAATAAATAAGAGTTAAGACAGTCCTTGTGAGTCTTCCTGATTGTACAAATAACCTAGCTGCAAGTCAGGCTCAGTTCAAACAACTAAACAAGTTTCTTGAGCAATGTCACGAAACGAAGCAAAGTTTTCTTTTACTTAA